CCCGCGCCCCTACCAGTGACGAAAACTACCACCTACCAGAGACAAACCAGGGGAACAAAACCCCAGCCGACTCCAAGGGCGGCCCAGTACCGAGCAGTAAAGGACACAGCGGAGGTAGAACCCAAGGTGACTTGTGGAAGGTGGCCCCAAGCCACAAGGGCAGTACTTACAGGGCACCTAGGGAAGATAGCCCTAGGCACATGCAGCCCAAGTACCGTGGAATCTTACTCCTGGCTCACACCCCACCGGTAGAGACAGTCCACACCACAAGGCACAGAACTGAAACAAAAACCGGAGCCAGAGGCACTCGACCAGCCAGTAATACCATCAGCCAAGAACTGCCAGTTGGATCGCCGGCGTGGAGGGTCTGGGGCTCCCCCTTCCCCCTCTCGGGGAGGGGGGGGGCTTACGGGGCTCCAGAAAGAAAGTTATACATATCCATTCAGCCTGGATAGCTCCGGGGAGCTGACAGAGCTCCCCCCCAGAAAAGAAAAAGAAAACCCCCGCAAGAGGACAGCATACCCAGGCGGTACAGAGCCGGCCGCTATGATTGGTGAAAACAAGCTGCGCAGTACCCTGCGCCCCTACCAGTGCAAACTGCCTCTTACCCTAAAGCGAACAAGGGAGACAGAACCCCCATCACACAAAGGGCGGCCGATAACCAAAAAGTAGATGGCCTAGCAGAAGCAGGACCCAAGGAACTTGTGGAAGGTAACCCCAAGCCCCAAGGGCAGTACTTACAGGGCACCTAGGGAAGGCAACCCTAGGCGCATGCAGCCCGAGTACTGGAAACTCACTCCTGGCTCACACACCACCTAGAAGAGAGACACCACACTCTAGGTACAGTGCTGAAACCACCACTGGAGCCGAAGCACACAACTGGCGCCTTTAGCATCATCCGAAGAACTGATAGGTGGATAGCCGGCGTGAGAGGTCTGGCTGCTGCCCTCCCCCCTTTCCCCTCCCAGAGAGGGGGGGAGCAGCGCAGACAGCGGGGCGGTGACGTGTAATGTCATACTTGTTTGTTTTCGGTTGGGAAGTTCTATCCACTAGTTCGACTTTTGGTAGCAATTTTCACCAGAATAGGGGTTTATTTGGGGATGCTTACCTTTCTGGATGTTTGACCCGGTCGATGGCAGACATAGAATGCTTCCAACCACACGGGGATTTCTATTGGCCATTGCTCCCCTTGCCTCTCTGAGGAGGCCAGGTTCTGGCCGTGGTCCCCGGTAGGCCCTAGAACTCCATACACATGACTGATGCCAAAGTCTGACATTAGCATATCAGCCTGGTATAGCTCCTGGGAGCCAACGGGGTTCCCCCAGAAAATACATTCATTACTCCTAAAATCTTACATCGCGAGTGGGAAGGATACCGGAAATCACCCCCTGAATCGAGGGAATATCACTCCTCACCATTTGTCATCCATCTCAGAATGGAGGGGACGCTTCTAATCCTACTTTCCCCTGCTGATAACATCAATTGAAAGAAGAGTAAAAGGGATTGGTGCATGCATGCTAACCAAGATATATTGACTAGACCTAGAATCAGTTAACTTAAAGATATAATTAATGGAGCACTAACTCTGGACAGAAGAGCCTCCAATAGCAACAAGTGGACCCATTATGCAATAAACACCATCAATACAATCGATATAACAAATACAGTCACTGAGAAGGGTGTCGATGAAATACATGCAGAACTTGTAATGCAAGCCCCTTGGAAATCACTGCCAGCAGACTTTAAGATTATGGTTCTTGAGGGAAAAAAGAACCAGACTAATCCTCATCTGCTACATAATATTGCACAGTTGCATATAGAAGCAAACTTGGCATCTGACCGCTTCACTTACTTCACAGATGGATCAGTAGACCAGCAGGGACAAGAAACCGGAGCTGCAGTTAAGGCTGGAAACTCTGTAAATAGTTGGAGACTCTCAAATGGGTGTTCAACTTTACAGAGATGCTAGCCATTCAAAAGGCTTTGGAACATGCTCTTGCTGAACACCGACAACATGTTATCATACATACAGATTTGAGAAATGCCATTGAAACCTTGCAACAAGAACACATACATGACAACATCCATCTGATAACAAATGTCTTATCATTAATGCAAACACTCAAACGTCAAAGTCGTCGGGCGATAGATAGATAGAAGATGCAGACGATAATTAACAACTGGGTGCCAAGTCACGTGGGAATAATAGAAAGTGACATTGCAGACGAAGCTGCAAAACTTAAAACTAAGCAAAGAAATGTAGACATTTATATACCACAGAGTCAATCACAGATTAAGAAAGTAATTAGAAATAGAGCAATGCAGATGATGTACAGTGACCACAACACAGCAGTTGCAACATCAGGATCTGCGGGTTGGTTCAAGAATTCAACAAACCACTTATTTTAATGAAAGGGAGCAGTAGAACAACAACTAGTACACTTACATCGCATCAGGCTTGGATACCCATGTGCATGGGAAATAGGCTTACAGGTTCCAGAAAATGGGAAGAAATGTCAGCACTGTGGAGAAATGCCCGACAGACCACTGGAACATTATCTAACTCAGTGCACAGTTACAAATCCAATAAGATTTCAACTTAGATTCAACAGAGCAGAAGTTGTTAAAACACATTGGGCAAAATTGTACTGAAGCGACCATACGAGTCATAAATACTCATACTCCACCCAAGTAAAACAGAAACAAGCAACACTTAGTAGGCCAGCCAGAGGCTTGGGGTCCGTGCAAGAATTTCTCTGAAAAAAAAAATTGTTCATGGCATCAATAGCAACAAAGGATAAGAAACAATGACAAATAAATAATATATATATATATTAAATTTTCAGTTTATATATACAGTACTGCACACTATAATAATACAGAAATGTATACAGTACCATCAAGTACGCAATACAGTAATTTTAAAATCACTTTATATATCAAGTAGAAATAAAACCAAATACACTTTTCATCCCATACAGAATATAAACAAATTCTATATATTTTCAAGGAAGTTGGTGATATATACAGCAAAATAGGGTATTGTATTTATCCTTGTATTTAATGGCCCTATGCCTCAACCAAATTAAAATAATGATACAAATTTTCTTTCCCCAATCGTCATACTTTTCAGTAATATACACATTTTAATAAATAACCAAAAAATACCAGCTAGCATCATAACTTAACAAGACTTCCCACTTCACTAATATTGGAAATATAATAAAGGAAACCACAGAAAGCCTATTAGCCCATATGAGGCTGCTCGTTTTTATATTCATCCATCCCATCATGTTGCCTTGCAGACAATGAGTCACAATAACATGCTGAAGATATGATGACCAAACCACACACCACAAGATGAAGAGACGACAATGTTTTGGTTCGTCCTGGACCATTATCAAGTCGCTTGTGATATTGGTCTGGCATGGACCGAAACATCATCGTCTCCCCATCTTCTGGTTTGTGGTTTGGTCATCATTACCGTGCACACTCACAAAGTAAGCTACAATACACACACAAACACACACACACACACACACACACACACACACACACACACACACACACACACACACACACACACACACACACACACACACACACATACATTGCTTGAAACCAGCAACTTCACAAACGACAATAGGACACACACATTCAAGTTAAGGAAACAAAGGTGCTGAAAAAATATTAGAAAGTTTTCATTTTCAAACAATGTGGTGATTGGAAAACACCAAATGAGAAGGGGGTAGAGGCCAAAACTGTCAGTAGTTTCAAAGCGTTATATGACAAAGAGTACTGGGAAAATGGGACACCATGATCGTAACTCTCCTCCTGTAACTACACTTAGGTAACTACACTTAGGCAATTACACACACCTGGAGAATAATGACATAACACATCTGGAGAGTAATGACATAATAACAGGCAGGCAGTATGGTTTTTGAACAGGAAGATCCTATATAACAAATCTACTTAGTTTTTATGATAAGAGCCACAGAAGTACTACAGGAAAGAAATGGTCCGGTTGACTGTGCCTATTTGGACCTAAAAAAAAGGCTTTTGACAGAGTCCCACACAAGAGGTTGTTTTGGAAATGGGAGCATGCTGGAGGGGTGACAGGGAAACCTCTGATATGGATGAAAAAGTTTTAACAGACAGATGAGAGCAGTGATCAGAGACAATGTATCTGACTGGAGGAGTGTTACTAGCGGAGTACCACAGGGGTCAGCTTTTGCCCCAGTAATGTTCATAAACGATCTACCAGAAGGAATACAGAAACATAAATGATCTACCAGAAGGAATACAGAATTACATGAACATGTGTGTGCGGATGATGCTAAGATACTGGGGAAGATAGAAGATGAAGACGATAGTCATGCCCTTCAAATTTATCTAGATAAAATAAGTGTTTTAAGTGACATGTAGCAAATGGAATTCAATGTGAATAAGTGCCATGTTTTTTAATGTGGAATTGAAGAAAATAGACCACACATAACTTACAAATTATGTGGAAAGGAATTAAAGAACTCAACTAAGAATGAGACAAACTTCAAAACTTCAAACTTGCTTTTAAATATATATGGATGGTGAAATACTAAAGAAACTTCATGACTTTTGAGACCAAAATTGGAATATGCAGCAGTAGTATGGTGCCCATATCTCAAGAAACATAAATAAACTGGAAAAGGTGCAAAGATAAGCTACAAAATGGCTTCCAGAACTGAAAAACAAGAGTTACGAGAAGCTAGAGGCATTAAATACCTGTATGCCAAAACTAAAAGATAGAAGAAAAGGAGGTGATATGATCACCACTTACAAAATACTAACAGGAATCGACCAAACTGACCAAGAGGAATTCCTGAAACCAGCAACTTCATGAACAAGAGGACACAGATTCAAGCTAAGGAACCAAAGGTGCAAAAAAAAATAAAAAAAAAATTATTTTGCAAACAGAGCGGTAGATGATTTGGAACAAGCTAAGTGAGAATATGGTGGAGGCCAAAACAGTTACAGTAGTTTCAAAGCGTTATACGACAAAGAGTACTGGGAAGACCGGGCACCATGAGCTTAGCTCTCATCCTGTAACACACTTACACACACACACACACACACACACAGCGTGTGTGCGTGTTCTTTTTGTTCTTTTAGCATGATAGTGGAAAAATGGAATGCACTTGGGGAACAGGTTGTGGAAGCAAGCTCTATTCATACTTTTAAAATTAGGTATGATAGAGAAATGGGACAGGAGTCATTGCTGTAAACAACTGATGGCTGGAAAGGAGGGATCCAAGAGTCAATGCTTGATCCTGCAAGCACAAATAGGTGAGTACAAATAGGTGAATAGGCGAGTACACCCACACACACACACACACACACATTACTCTCGGATGAACACTTTTTATCACACTCAGCCAGATTTCCCTCTTTCATCCTCTGGCACTTCCTCACTGTCTGAGAGCTCCTGAAAATCTTGAGGAATGTACATCTCGCTACTAACTTTGTCATGATCTATCCCATCAAATTTCTTTTTTACGTTGGTGTTTTTCATGAGAGACAATTCCCTTGTAGCATCAAGTTCCCAGGCACCCTTACACAGTCCTTTGCGAAACACCATCCCATGGAAGTGAGTCAATTTTTCATACTTTGTCCTTGCAAAGCCTAAGAATCCAAGTGTTATTTTCCACAGTTTGTAGAGATGAACATTAGCATTTTGGTGTTTACTATCAGGAGTGATGATGCATAGAATGCCGTTTGGTTTTAGAAGATCATATGCTTTCTGGCAACACAAGAATCTCTGCTTAGGTGAAGGTATGTACTCAAGCAGCAGGCAAAATACCACTACATCATAGGAACCACCTTCCAAAACTGTAATAGTATTCAAGCTGATCTCTGAACTGGTTGTAAAGTCAATTAAACTTTCATGCTTAATGTCTTGCAAATCTTTGTTTTTACATAACATTCCAGTACTGTTTCTTGCACAATCTCCTAAAATGTCTGTTAAAATGGATTTATCATCCACTGTGTTTACACGTATTTTGTTTTCATCAGACATGGATGAACATGCTAACTCTACACGGCTTTCCAATTGTAAACCATTTGATGCATCTGATACTATTACCTCAGAGTTTGGTACACTACTTGGGGATGATGATAATAGATCTGTTGCTTCATATTCATCTGATTCTGATAATACTTCTGAATTATTGCTAGTATCAGGTTCACTTTTGCCTCCAATGCACACTTCTAATCTTAAGAAGTCACATTTCTTGACAGACTGAAATAGCAAAACATTTAGGTTTAGGATAACTTTCAACTACAAGAGAAAGGAGCTAAAGTAACAACTACCATATTAGAAATGAATAAATGATCAATTACATATTAATCTTGTATAGAACTACCAGGTATAGTACTAGCAACCTGTCGATGACTACCAAGGACTAGCAACTTCAATGAAGAATCTGAAATGCTTTAAAATTGATATCTGAAATGCAGTTAAGTAAGTAACTATCAAAAGAATGTCATGTACGTGTAGTTAAATGCACTAAATAGGAAAACCACAAAAAACTTCCTCCTTCTCTTCCCCCAAAAAATTGTAACTGAAATTAAGAGGTTACAGAAACCAACATTTTGACTGATTCTCCAATTCATGCCAATCTTCAGGAATTCAACTTCACATGATCAGTGATGTACTGTACTTGCCAGAGATAGGTACAGTATAGTGACACTTGGTTTGAAAAAAAATAAATATTTCTCTAAAATATCTAGGGCTCAATAACAAAATATGCTAATGACCAAGGAAAACATTACATACCGGATGAGCAGGACACAGATCAATAGCAGTTACATCTAACTCTTCAAAAGCTAGAAATGGGTTGTAGCAGCTTCCCACATCTAACATTTTAACTTTTGAAGTTAAAGGCAGCTTACATCTGGAGGAAAAAAACCTCCCTACAATATATGAACCACATTTTAAATTTAATATGAAGGAAGAGTGTCATAGTATGAACTCTTTGAATATAAAATACTGCAGGTACACAATCTTCATGAGATTGGATTACATAGGTTCAGAGATGAGTTATGCATTTCTTTTTTTACCAAGTTTCAAAATGTGCAGGTGAACTTCAGTTATGCAGGTTGAGCACTGATTAGTGCTAATAATCTGTATTAATTCCTGGATCTACAGCACTCTGAGAAGTGTGTCAAGCTGTCCCACACATCCTACATTCTTACTTCACAAATTTGTTGGGTTACATTTATGTAACATTGCACGTTCATTCTGGACTTCTTTATGCGTGTAAAATTTATGATTGACAGATTGACAGGTTAACATTAAATATTAATGTTAAAATAGGTGTTTTATTGCTTCATTTCATTTTAATTTGCACCACTTTAGCAGGAAGGTATCCCCAACACAAATCAAGGGCCATCGGTACAGTCCTGTGAAGAATGATAATAAGCGCTAAATACTGTAATAACTACATGTAGTGCGCCAGGAGTATTTGATTACTACACAGTACTGTAGACACATATTACTAACCCTCTGGCTTTGTCAGGATCATCCACTTTCAAACTCAGGTGTTCTAATTTACGCATTTCTTTTTCAGTTGTGCGTTGCATTTCTCCTTCATTGAAGTATTGAATAATGGCACCGTGGATCCAACTCACTCTAGAGGTATTAATCTGTAAAATGAATTTACATTGTTAAATATAGTTGATATGGACAGATAAATAGACTGAAGCTCGAGCTTGAACAAGATATGTTAGAGCAATGAAATTATCTTGTTTCTGCAGTTTGACATTTTACTCAGATCAAGCATTATTTACACCATTATAGTAAATTTGAACGCCAATCAATTAAATGTCCTGATAATTGAGAAGTTTGTGTTTGACAAGATTTTGAGTGCTGTTCAGTGTAAAAAACATTAAGAAAAACTTATTTTATATTCTATATACCTAAAAGATACAGCATTGAATGCAGTGAAATGTTTTTTTCTTTTGATTGCTCCCAACTACCAGGTCACATCAGCCGTGGAGTTTTGTTTGGCTTATCAGGCCAAAAATGTGGCAGTGGAGCCACAACCTGGCCTCCACTCACAAAGGTGTGGAAAGCAGGTGACACTCCACCACCCTGCCACGGAAGTATCCAGATAGTGAACCAAAACTGGGTTCAAAGAGACTGAAGCCTCAAAACCACCAAATGAACTTCCTCAAGAATGTAAATAAATGACTGAATCTCTCAAAACAAGCACCAGCTCATTAGCACTAACCCCCAACCTCACTAGTGGAGGGGAACTGGAGGCTCAGGTGCCCAATGGGCGATGAGCCCAATTCTGGAGCAAATGTGCAAATGAAAACACAATCAATGACCTGGAAGTGAGGAAGGGGTTCACTCGGAAACAGGCGTTGCATTTCAGTCAACGCTGGGGTTCTGAGGGGAGTCCCTTATGGCTTCCTGAAACTAACTACATTTACCAACTTTTACCCTAGGGCCACTAATACTAGTGGCCTTGACGAGGACAGGAAGCCAGCAGCTTGTCAAAGCCCCCCCCCCCCCCCTGCCCATTTGCCCTGATGATCATTTCCAGTTGTATTTTAAAACCCAACAGAGTTTTGGCATTTACGGCTTCGGTGGGTAGGTAGTTCCATTGGTTTATAGCCCTATGGGTGAAAAAAACCAGCGTTGAATGTAATGAAACGCCATTTTCTGGGCGAGTCCCGGAGCTATCCCAGGCTGATATGCTAATGTCAGACTTTGGCATCAGTCATGTGTATGGAGTTCTTAGGCTTACCGGGGACCACGGCCAGAACCGGGCCCCCTCAGAGAGGCAAGGGGAGCAATGGCCTATAGAAGCCCCCGTGTAGTTGGAAGCATTCTATGTCTGCCATCGACCGGAACAGGCACCCAGAAAGGTAAGCGCCCCAAAACAAACCCCTATTCTGGTTAAAATTGCTACCTAAAACCGAGCTAGTGGATAGAACTCCCCAACCGAAAACAAGCAAACTAGTGTGACGTCACACACTGCCGCGCCGCTGTCTGCGCAGCTCCCCCCTCCCCGGGAGGGGGAAGGGGGAGCCCCAGACCCCCCGCGCCGGCTACCCACACCTCAGTTCTTGAGGCTGGATGTCAAAAACGCGAAAAACCGCCGACCGGAGGGAGGGAGGGATGCCGGGGAGCCTCCGGGACTCACCCAGAAAATGGCGTTTCATTACATTCAACGCTGGTTTTCTGGGGGGAGCCCCGTCGGCTCCCCGGAGCTAACTACCCACAGACAGAAAAAGAGGGACTTACCCGGGAGGCAGTCGTCGCTCACCCCTCAACTCGAAGCCGAGACAACTGGCTGCAACCGCCGACCCAAAGCAACACAGGCCCGACGAGGCCCAGGGACATTCACAAGGTAACGAGCAGCCAGGACCCTGTTCGACCGCCAAAATCCCCGCGCCTGAATATCAGACCAAGACATATTCCCAAAGACGGCAGCAAGAGCCGCGAACTTACGAACGTCATGGGCACGGGGATAGACCGCAGGCTGGCTGGACCTAATAACCCTGCGGACGACCTGAGAGACCCGAACCCGCGAACAGGGAAGAAGGGAAACCGGATCAACCCACAGCGCGTCCCCGGACACAGAAGCTGTGGCGCGCAAATAATGGCGAAGCGCCGCAACCGGACACAAAACATGATGCACCCCCGGCCTGACCAACCAAGCATCAACCATCCATGGACCCCTCCGGAACGCAGCAGTCTCATTCTTCGCCAGAAAAGAAGGAGACGGCTGCAAACGAACAAAACTATCACCACGACCAAAAGAGCAGAAACCCCTGCGCCGGAGGAGAACATGAAGCTCCCCTACCCGACCCCCAGAGGCCAAAGCCAACAAGAAAAGTGCCTTGGAAAAACAATCCTGGACCGAAGGGGCCACAACGAAACGAGGAGATGAAAGGAAAGCGAGCACTCTGTCCAAAGACCAGGACGGCTCAGGTGACGCATGAGCAGGCCGGAGGTGAAACAATGCACGAGACAGCTTGCGAAACGGCGCAGACGTAACATCGATACCGAAAGCAAGCTGAAGCGGCTCCGCCAGCGCCGCACGATACGAAGCGACAGTGTTAGGCATAAGATGACGGTCCTGAAACAACCACGAGAGGAAGGACAAGACCACCCGAACAGACAAGGAGCTAATACGACGAAGACGCAAAAAGAAACGGAAGGACCGCCAGGAAACTTCATACTGCCACCGAGAAGAAGCCCTCAGGTGGGACACCAACAAGGAGGCCACCTGATCACCATAGAGATGATGATAGACTCGAGTCAAAAAAACCATACGCGAAGACTCGAGGAGAAGATCGAACCAGCTACGTGATGTACCGGCCCGATCTGCTGAAAGAGGCGGAGCCGCGGGAAAACCCTCGGGTTCGGACACCGAGCAACCAGCGCCTGAAACCAAGGCTGGGCCGGCCACCAAGGGGCCAGAAGGACAACTCTCCCCTGGTAAGTCTCTAAGCGAGTCAGGACCTGGAGCAACAGCCGAACCGGGTGAAAGAGGTACAGGAACCCCCACCTCGACCAGTCTAGCCGAAAGGCATCGACCCCGACGGCCTCGCAATCGGGGAAGGGCGCCGCATAAACGGGAAGACGCCGCGACCACGCCGACGCGAAGAGGTCCACTTCGGGGCGCCCGAACGTCTGGCAAAGCCAACGGAAGGACTCGTTGTCGACCGTCCACTCCGTGGAGAAGGGAACGAAGCGAGACAGGGCGTCGGCCAAGACGTTGGACACGCCCCGTACGTGAACCGCCAGGAGAGCCAAACCCCGAGAACTCAGCAGACGAGTCACCTAAAGCGACCAACCCCAAAGAGACAAGGACCGCATCGAACCCCCGCGGTTCAGGCAATGAACCACCGGAGAGCAGTCCGAATGGAGCCGAATCGTCGATCCGCGGGCCACCCGAATCCTCCCCAGAGCAAACCACACTGCCGCGAACTCCCGCACCGTACTGTGAGCTCGACGGAAGGACGGATCCCAACGCCCCTGGCCGGCCTGGTGAGCACTGGTCACAAAACCCCAGCCGAGAGACGACGCATCCGTGTACACATCGAGCGAGGGCTCGGGTAGGCGCCAAGGCACTGAACCCCGAAAAACCCGAAGAGGAAGCCGGTGATGCAGCAACCGACGCAAGTCCCCCGGGGGTCGAACTCTGCGATCGCGAGAGAGGCGGAAGGGGAAACCCCAAAGGAACCAGAACAGCCGTCGAAGCCAAACCCGACCCGGCGGGTAGACCACCATCGTGAAGTTCAGGCTCCCGCACAGCCCCTCGAGCAACCGCCGGGTGACCCGAGGGCCCTCCAGAAACAGACGAAGGCGGGACTGCAGCCGCAGGAGAGACTCCGGAGGGAGAGACAAGGAGGCGGTTCGAGAGTCCCACACGAGACCCAGCCAAGTCCGAACCTGAGAGGGAACCAGATGGGACTTCCTCCAGTTCACCAAGAACCCGAACCCGGCGAGCTGGGAAAGAACCAAATCCCTGGCTAGCAAGCAAGCTGACTGGCTGGGAGCCCAAACCAGCCAGTCGTCGAGGTAGGCCAACACCCGAACACCTAGGAGACGCAAACGAGCCACCACAACCCGTATAAGGCGTGTGAACACGCGAGGTGCCAGGTTCAACCCGAACTGGAGACAACGAAAGCGGTAACTCAGACGCCCCACTACAAAACCGAGCCAGTCCCTGAACCGCGGATGAATCGGGACATGCCAATAAGCGTCCCGGAGGTCCAGGGACACCATCCAAGCTCCCGGCTCCAAGAGGAGCCGAACCTGAGACAGCGTAGTCATCCGAAAGGAGGGGCAATGAACCCAGGGGTTCAGACGGGACAAGTCCAGAATGAACCGCAGGTCCGCGCAGTCCTGTTTCGGAACCGGAAACAGACGGGAAACCCATCAGAGGGACGACGTCATTTCGACGACGCCCAAGCGTACCCACTCCAAGACGACTCGACAGAGCGCAGGGCAAGAAACCTGCCCTGCCAGCCCCGACCCCCCAAAGGGGGGAGGGGCCACCCAACGCCACCGCAGGCCGCGAGACACGACCCGAAAGGCCCACGAATCGTGGGACCAGGCGCGGGCGAACAGCGCAAGCCGCCGCCCCATCGCCCCGTCAAGGGGGCAAACCGCGAAAGGGCCGGCGACCCTTACGAGACCCAGAACCCCGCACAGCGCGAACACCGCGCCGACCAGACGAGGGAGGGTCCGCAGGAGGAGCCAACCCCAAACCTGACACCAGAGGCCTACCACGACGAGAGGAACCCCGAGCCCTGGCACGACCTTTCCGGGAAGACCCACCCCGGGACCCCCGGAAAACCAACAAGTCCGACATCGGACGACAAGCCGCCGACGCAGCCTGAATAAACTGCGCCACGGCCGACTCCCCAAACAGGAGAGGACAAAAAGGTGAAGAACGCCTAAGAGCCAGAGCCCAAGCAGATTCCACGGAGGAACCCAGCACCGCCTGCCAACACGCGAGACGGGAAGCATAGAACAGGGAAACCGCATCCCGCAAAATCGGCGTGAACAGCTTCAACAAGGCAGCCGACGAACGCGCAGCCGAGGACAAGGTGCCGGACCCCGGGACGGACCCAAGCGTCCCCACATCCTCCACGAGCCAATCCGAAGACAGCTCCAGGAG